TTCAAATTATTTTTTTGAAGGGATGCTGTTTCAATAAAGATTAAGAATATGAACAATTTCGATCATAAAATGTATACATTAAAGACACGTTATTCGCAAGAAGTGAAATCTATTTTGTTCACTCCATTCCAGCTGGATCTTCAAGCAGGTAGGTAGACTGGTTTCCGGGCTTTGCCATCAAACTGTCTTCCGAAGAGTTTACTCGGATGGTGACTGGGGAAGGTCCTAGGGTGTGCTTCAACCTCAATTGACGGAAAGTCTTTTCCATATCTTTCGTCTCTGAAATGTATGTGCATTTCAGCTGGGTGATGAAAATATAGTGTATCCTTCTTTATGTTTTTTTTTGTTGGGATTTTGGTATTTTTGTGCAAGCAAATTGCAATACTAGAAGAAGGAATTAAACGCAAGACCTAAGTAGATAGATATGCTACTATACATTCTTCAGCTACAAATTTCTTGTATTTATTAACACAATGTAATTTTTTAAAGATTGGTGTGGTTTCAATATTTAGTTTTTAATAAAGCGATAACATTGGTGGATTAAATAGATAGTTGTTATGAGAGAAGAATCGGTGAGATCACACCCACAGTAGAATACAAACATTTATTATTTTTCACTGTTTTTGTAAAGTGTCATTTGCAAATGATATATTAAGAAGATTACTTTTTACAAATGATATATTTACAATAAGAGGTAAGAGATTTAGCTTGAGTCATGCAATATGTCAATTATAATAAATTTGTATTGAACTTATGATAGTTGAAGATAAGATCTCTTTACAAGTAAAGAATATAATAATATCAGTAAAGAATATAATAATATCATATTCATACGATATTATCTACATTAAGACGTTAGGGAGTGAGCTATGCTTCATAATAAGTTAGCCATAATAATTTGATTCAAATTCGTTTTTTTATTAGAATCGTACAAGAACCTTTCACGTACAAATAAAACAAGAATACTAATTTAATCAAATAAATTACGCGGTTCACAATACGTAGAGTGTTCTTCCTTTACAGCCAAGGAATACTCATAAACCTGACAAAATACAAGGAGGCATTGCCAGCACAATCACTCGTTGACTTTCTGTTTCGTTTTTCCTACAATATATAAAGTTTTAAAGAGAAAAAAAAGAGTACAGCTCCCTTAAAATAATTACTAACATTTAACTAACATTTGCCTACACATTTTGTGTGTATGAACATATTTTTTTAGAAAATGAGAAGGAGAGAGGGGGGGGGAGAGAGAGAGAGAGAGAGAGAGAGAGAGAACTTGGGGGTGAGGGGAGTGGGAGGTTTTTTATTTTTAATATTCGAGGTATTTTAACATCACTTGTAAATGAGACTTCAATAAAAAAAACAGTAAAATTTTAACGTGTGAAATTAAATTATTGTCCATTATTTTTTTTTTTTGTGATAGAAGACTAAGTAGTTTTTTCACCATCTTTTGGTTGACAAAGAGTTTCATTAAGTAATAGAGATTAACATAGATTAATAGAGATAACAGGGGCAATTTTTTGTTTATTTTTTATTTTTCCAATAAAAAATTAAATTTTATGTACATTGGCTAAAGTTGAAGACTTTTTCTTTGTTTCCGATGTGAAATAGAAGATGATCCAGCTATTCCTTTGGTTTGTTCTCTTGGTGGTGATGGCAACAGCCTTGCGATGAAGGCGCATCTGGTGGCTGTTGGTTTCCATTTCAGTCTTAGGGTTTTTTGTTGTTGTTCAACTGGCCACTTTTGAGTAGTTCCATTGTATTTTTCATTTTTGTTGTTGAGCTTGTATTTAGGTTGTGGGCTGCCCACTCATTTTCTTGTACTTGTCTTTTATTTAAGTAATTGAAGTAATTTAGTTTGACGAAAAAAAATAAGAAGATGATATTCAAGATAATAGTATATTCTTATCTCTAATGGTATATATGGTAAAAAGTCGTGTTATGACAAATAAGATGGGTTAAATATCATAATTATTGATCTTTAACTAATAACTATTGAAAATGTAGTCGATGACAAAAACTTGTGTGACTTGTTAATGAAAGTGACAGTGCCCGAGTAACATAATAGTTGAATTAAGAGATCAAATGCGTGTAAGAATAATTCAAAAAATTTAATGACTGGTGGGTTAAATAGTAAATTAGTTCTGCAAAAGTAAAAATTTTCAACAATAATCTAGTTCTATTTTGACAAACTGTAAATATTGAACCTACTCTATAACACAAAATTGTTTATGCACCTGAAGTACACAAAACGACCAAGCACATTCAAAAACCACGAAGTAGAAGAAGATACAATAAAAGCTTGTATGAACAACTGGCAGAAAATCAAACAAAATCTAGCAAAATTAAACAAATCCGAAGAAAATTGCACAAAGAATTGAACAAGAGTGAAGAAGGCAAAGAGAAGAAAATCGAAAATGCTATATCTTTCCAAAAGAACACAAAATACTTGGACATAACAATTACAGCAGTAGAGAGTTGGGAGATGTTAATATCTCCTATTCCACACAATGTAAGGCTGAGATGAAAGAATACCAAACCAAAGCTTAAGCGACTCGTTCCAGCATACTGCAACTGAATTGGCCACCCGACAGATGCAGCTTCTCTGCTTTTGTAACAGCATCAAGAGGAAGAGGAATGAAACTTCGAGATGGACCATAGAAATGGGGGAAGCTATTGGAACCATCAACAACTTCATATACTAACCCTTCACCTAGCTGCAACAACGCAAACAGAGAAAATTTATCTAAATACTAAGACTACAAGGTATGAAGACAAAAAAGAAAACAATGCCAACGAACTTCGAGTGTGATCTTCATGTTGATACTTATATAAACAAGTGGAAAGAAAGGCTCAATACCCACGGCTGTTCAATAGGAAACCAAGAAAATGCGGGTGGTGGAGGTCACAGAACAGTAGGACTGTAGGATGGGGAAAGATTGAGGGGTTTCTCATTCAGTCTAGGTTTCTAACTTTCTATTCATGAAGTCTTTGTATACTTTAGGGGAGCTACATGTGCCATGAGCTAGCAAAACATGGATTTTCAGAAGGTAGATTCAAGTACTGCCATCTCTTTGGTTAACAGAAGTCGCCAGGAATCCCACCCTGCTAGTCCCAGAAGCTCATGGGCAAGACTGAGACTGAGGGGTGGTTTGGGAGTGAGGTGCTTAAAAAAAAAGCACCCATGAAAAAAAACTGTGATGGTTTTAGGTGTTTGGTAAACTGAAAAAAAAGGGCTTATTTTGGAAGCTGATGTGAGAATAAGCTGAAATCAAAGGAAAAAACTGAAGCTGCTATTTGTAGCTTTGGAAAACTGGCTTTTTTTCAAAGCACACGGAGCTACAATGCTCCTTTAATGAAAAGACCCACTATCAGACTGCTTTTTTTTCCAAAAGCATGTTTACAAAAAAGTTTACCAAACACTCTGCTGATTTATTTCACAACCGCTTATTCTCACAGCAACTTTTTTTCAAAGCACAGCAATACCAAACCAGCCCTGAGACTGAGACTGAGAGATCATTCCAAGGCGTACGTGCAGGAAGGAAAATCTTATAGATTCATCATCAGCTACCTTCTGGCCCTAATGTTATTTGTTTCAAAATGTTTCAGGGTAATTTTACCACGTCTTGTTCCTCTATGTAAACCAAACAATAGTATAAGAAGTCTGCTATAATCAACAACGCCTCCAAGCAACTCCGAAGAAGTTAGTATCTGAAATCCGTGCTTCCTTCGATTCCCTTCATTCAGTAGTGCATATTACCTTCATAAGCTTCCTCTCTTTTAATCCGCAGAATAGTGGTATCCATTTGTAACTTCTCATTCCAAAAATAGGCAGAACCATGGGGCAGCTGCAGTTGCAATATTAGGTCTCCGTCTATAGGAATCGCTATAGCTCACTTTGATTTCAGTAGTGCATGTGGACAAGGGATTTTAAAGTTATATGGAACTTTAGACTCGATTATTAAAAATGTACTACAAGAAGTCTACCAATGAACTACTCATGCACTACAAAGCTACTACCAAAACACCACAAATAAACTACAAAGACACTAGACGAACGACTTTCAACGTGTTATTTGGAAGTCCCCTAATCCAACTTTTGTAGTGCATGCCTACCAAATTTAACGTACGTTGCATGGAACTTTAAAGTTCCTCATCCAAACGAACCATAGCAATCAAAGTTAGAGTATAACCAAAATGGATGTTCATATCTATGTACCTTATTGGTGTCAATTTGAAGCAAGTAAAGATCCACCTTCGTATTCACGAAAAAATTCTGCAATGTCGACTTTACCTGAAAAAATTGAACCATTTTATAGCATCAATAAATCAATTAAACGCAATTCATCACCCATAATTTTTGTTTTACTTTTATTACTAGCGATAATTCTAATCTAACTTTCACTAAATGGGAGGTGGAGAGTTTGAACCCGGAACGCATTGGGTTGGGCTCTATCCACCAGGGCAACCCATTTGCCACCCAGAATTTCTTTCAGTTGGACTATGTCTAAGGTTTAATCGATGCAAAGGGTAAACATAATCAAATTGGCAACTGGGTCTGATATATAGATAGATATATGTGTGTGTGTGTGTGTGTGTGTGTGTGTGTGTGTGTGTGTGTGTGTGTTTTGAAGAGACAGAGAGAGAGTGACCTGATTGAGGTTGCTAAGATGAATGAACCCAGATTTCTTGTCCAGCTCTCCACCAAAAATAGAGCCAGAGCTCTGCAACTCTCCCCACTCCGCAGCAGTGCTGATTCTGTACACATATTCTTCCATCCCTTCACCTCCACCTGCAGCCATTGCTCTGGAGATTGAAAGTCTTCCACCAACCATTTGGACGCTACTGCTCATATATTCCAATACTACTGGACCCTGTTGGGCTTTGATGGGCTTTGAGGCGACAGTGAGCCCGTACGATATTCCAACTCCAAGAGTCCAAGCCCAAGCTGCAATTGCATGAAGAATCTTGCACGCGTCGTTCTTAAAGCTTTAAACTTTCACTGCCTCGGTCGTGAGTAGACTGGGTACCCAAACTGGGTTCACTATCACTGAAGCTGGTGGTCTGCTTTTTACATAACGGTTGACAAACATGGCTACAATTGGGAATGCAGGCCTGCTTAGCCCCCTCCAATGCCACCTCAACGAGCTTCCGCTTCTGGGTTCGTGCTCGATCCGCACCAAGCTCGCAGAATTTCGGTTCTGTCAGCCCAATGTCGCTCTAAAGCACGCAAGAAATGCGTCCATTGTTCCCGTTGTGCGAGCACAGAGTTCTTCTGGTTCGTCTTCCTCCCATTTTTCTGGAAAAATAGTTCATGGGTTTGAATGCTCTTCCAGATTTCATTCAAATTATGATTTGGGTATCTCAGATTTTAAATTTCAAACTTTGGCATGGCTTCTGACTCTGTATTGTTGGTTGCTCGCAGGCTATGTCCCAGACTCCAAATATTACAAAGTCGAAGCGATTCTGAGGTGCGGAAACAATTCACCCTTCTGTTCTTATCTGCATTGTTGGTTGTTAATTCTGTTTAGGTTGATTGTTTATAGCTCTGCATGTCTGCTGTGTTTTTTCCTTCTTCTTTTTTTCCTATTATTTTTGTGTGTGGAATATATGAGGTTATGGGTTTTGATTATATCTAATTATTTCTTAATCTCTGTTATGATTATGGGACGAGCTAGGCCCTGGCGAGTTTCGCAGGTTTCTTCGGTAAGAACTGTTGAACCTTAAGCACAGCTTACTGCATATCTAATTGGCGTTGCATTAGCATAACAAAATTAGGAAAGCAATAAAATGATGTTTCAAATGTTGTTTACTAGATAATAGGAAGATAGCTCTGTGTTTCTAAGCCTGTGTAGTTATCGAAGCACCATCCCGTCTTCTTCTGCAGTTGGCTTTAATCCTTTTTACACACTCAAATCCATTTGCATATATCGAACACAGTCATAACGGATTTAGATTGGAGTTCAAACATGATAAAAATTGAAGGTTAATGAAATTCTAGCAGAGTGCCATTGATGACACTGGACCTAAATTTTGATTCCGGTTTGCCCTGTTGTGACGTTTCAAAAGATCAATTGGTAGTTGTTAATTGTACCACTACACTATTCAATTCTGGAATTTAATGATAACTGCCCTCACTTAGTGCTTATCAGTAACTTGCTGGCCAAGTTTCTGACTCCTCTTTGTATGCATTGCCTTGACCATAGTCAAGGCAAGGTAGCATTGGTCTTGTAATAACACTCATGCTATTCTCGGAATTTTTTACCACTTCTCTCCTTACAATTCATTACATCCATGAGGCATCCGTTGGGGCTTGAGATGCCATGCCAGTGGAGTTGTCCGTGGTGCCTGGGATGCATTGCCAGTGGAGTTGTCCGAGATGCACTAAGTAACGTCATTTGCTTGCTGAAAGAAATCTAGAAGCAAAACGGCCACTAGAAATTGAAGAAATGAGATGTTTCCTGTGGTTCATATTTAATGAATTTATTGTAAGAAAATGGGGCTATAGTCTATATTTAGGTAAGACTTTTTGGTTGCACGTTTTCAAATTTTTATTAATGTACAGTATTGTTGTTAGCTTGGTGCGATGGCACTTGGTGCAATGGCAATTGCCTTCGCCCATGAGCGGTAGGTCTCGGGTTCGAGACTTGGGAGCAGCCTCTCCATAAATGGGGGTAAGGCTAGCCGACATTCACCTCTCCCAGACCCTGCGTAAAGCGGGAGCCTTGTGCACTGGGTACGACCTTTACAGTATTGTTGTTAGCTCCTTGAGATAATAGCATAAGCACTACTTTGGGTTCTGGTGTCTTCGATGTTTTCTTGTGTCATTTTTCTAGAGCTCCTTGAGATAAAAGCATAAGCACTAATCTTTTTGTTTCCATCCTTTGTGGAAACCGAAGGCTCTGCTGAAAATTGGAATTCGTGGCGTTACTGTATCTGATGTTCGAGGCTTTGGTGCTCAAGGTGGTTCAACAGAGAGACAGGGTGGTATGTTCTTGCATTGGCATGGATATTTTCTCTTCATTTTAATTAAATCTAGCAGATTTTTTGGAACACTCCCCGGCCATTATATCATTTCATAATTTCTTCTTTTTTTATTACTTTGTTAGGCTCTGAATTTTCTGAAGACAATTTTGTCGCTAAGATTAAAATGGAGATTGTAGTGAGCAAAGACCAGGTATGAAGAGTGCGAGTGATAATTTTAGTTCTATAATGCATTCTTTTTGAGATATTGATGCTCAAGGAAGAGGGGTTGAAAATCACCAATTGAATCCTGCTCTGATCACTTCTTAGGTTGAAGCGGTGGTTGACACAATAATTGAGGCAGCCAGGACTGGAGAAATCGGTGATGGCAAGATTTTTGGTAAGTCTTTAAACTTGTTCAGTTTGAAACTACAAAGATACAGTCTACAGTAAGCACGTAAGCAGGTTAAAATAAAATTTAAATGAATAATTATTACTTTAACATGTTAATATCGATTTCTTTAACATAGATAATTATTTAATTGCGTTGAACATGATGTAAACTGAATTCAAACTAAAACACCTATATAAGTTAGCTTATTTTCAGACAATTTTTTAGGTATACAGAATTGTTTGATGGCTTTGCACCTTTCCATTTTGTCACCTATAGATGTTCTATCCACATACCCTTCCAGAATTAGGGAGGATCAGATTTGTTAGTTTACATTAGATATCGGGTTTGTGATGTGAGATACTACAGTCGTCTAAAAGTTTTAGGGAAGTACTTTAAAGTCAGGTCGGTAGGACAAGTAGCTATTTTTGACAACACTGATCATTTGCCAGAAATCTTTATGCTCCGTATTCTGCAGTCACTGTGCTAGTTACATGTAAAACTTAAAAACTCAAGGACCGTATCATTTTCTGGCCTCTCCAGTGAGGTTTCATCAAACTTTCTAACAGAGTTTTTGTATCTTTTGCAGTGGTGCCAGTCTCAGATGTCATAAGAGTTCGCACTGGTAACATTTTACTCGCCAAATGATTCAAGTTTAAGATGATCTATCCAGTTGTTTGTGTCTCTTTGGATTGCTTGCTCTCTAGAATTTGCCTAAAGTTTTTGTCTTGTATATGTCATTTTCAGGGGAGCGTGGAGAGAAGGCGGAGAAGATGACAGGAGGGCGGTCTGACGTGTCCTCTTCCTCTGCTTGAGCTGCATGGCCCATTTCGGTTCTCAACTAAGTGACATTTGACAGAACTTCATGAGTACCACTTTAATCGACCCCCCATCCAATATTTCCCCCTTGACCATTAGATCTTAGAAGATTAGTGCTTGTTCTTTTATTTTCGGAGTCTATGCGGTGATGGCGAAGTAAAATAAGGTGTAATACTAGTCAGGTAGCTTCTATCTTTTTTTTCAGAAAGGCATATCGGAAACTTCTCTTTATCTTTGGAAGAAGTATGATATACAGTCTATGTAAGCTTCTTTAACTTGTGAGCCAATTTATTATGCAAATGCGTTTCTGCAAGGAAGTTAACAAACACAAATCTACGACCAGAGGAGGCCGAATGCTAATGTTCTTCTGAATATCTCAAGCCTGATAACTAATGAAATCAACATGCTTACTTAGCCGTGCAATCTGGCTCATCAGTCCGATCAAACCGCTCATAAACTCCAGGCAGTAAGGTAAGAATCTGCTCGAGAATACCAGCAGATGAAGAATCAGAAGCTTCAGCTCGGCTAACCAGAATTGCTGACGATCAACAACAATGTCGGAAGGTAGATTGTGGCTGAGCTGCTAAAGTGGTTTAGCTTAGCCACTCAATGCACAAATATGGAGACGAATTGAGTGAGAGCTGATGAGAGGAATAAGAAAGAATCCTTCAAATTATTAGCCGTGTGATCCATGTTATACAATACACAAAAATGAGAAGATGAGTGTTGCAATGTTCAATGAGGCAAGAAAGGGACCAGCTAGTGTGTCACATCCCAGACAGGCTCTGCCGTAGCACGATATTGTCCGCTTTGGGTCACGTCCTCACGGTTTTGTTTCTAGAAACTCAGACGAGAACTTCTCAGTGGGTCACCCATCCTAAGATTGCTCTTGCCCGAACTCGCTTAACTTCGGAGTTCCGATGGAATCCGAAGCCAGTGAGTTCTCAAAATAGCTAGTAAGTTCCCAAAATGCCTCGTGCTACAGGGAGTGAGCATGTACATATAAGGCACATCATCCATTTTCCGTTGGTTGACGTGAGATGTTACAAAAGAAGAACATGTAAAATGTTACAAAATTTTATTGTCGTAATTGGACTAACAAAGTTGAAAAAATGCAAAAGAAAAATCAAACCAGATCAAAGTAGACCGTTCAAAATAAATTGAACCATACAGTTCTATTGTAATTGATTCGTTTACAGTAATAAATTAAATGCGGGTTAATTCAAATCAAACATGTCCACCCCTGTTTAATAATACTACTTATAATGATTGATACCCTTCTTCCCTCCCCCCGTTGATAAATCATGGAGATCATAAAAGCCTAGCGTTGTTTGGAGGCCAATTACGAATCAAACGACAACAACCAACTGCTTTGAAAATTGTATTCTTTCTTCTAATCAAATTTTCAAAAATTAAAACGTAAAAAAATATAAATAAAAATTTGGTGCGGTCGGTGCCCTTCCTTCCGGCCCATCTATAAATGCAGAGATAGATCCTTCCTTCCACATATAACGTGAAATATAGCGTGCGTGTCGCTGCGAAGGACAGCTCCTCCCCTTCTTCTTAGAGAGAGAAACCACCGCAGATCTGCTCTCTCTCTCTTCAATTTTTCCATCTTCCTCAGGTAACTCCAACTTTACCCTTCCTTGTTCTTCTTCGCAGATCTACACCGGCAATTGCTGTTTACTTTTTCGTTTATTTTTGTGCCCATTTGCTTGAATTTTCGCGATTTGATCCGATCTCGAATTTTCCGACTTTTTCGTTTTCCGATCTCGATTTTTGCCCGAATTTGTGATGAAATTTATATGATTTTAGAACCTCATTGTGAATGTGAATGCTGATTGATATATAAATATTTGAAATTTCGGGTTGGATTTTTGAACAAATTTTGAAGGTTCGAAAATGGGGCTTTCATTCACGAAGCTGTTCAGCCGTCTGTTTGCGAAGAAGGAGATGCGTATTCTGATGGTGGGTCTCGATGCGGCTGGTAAGACTACCATCCTCTACAAGCTCAAGCTCGGCGAGATCGTCACCACCATTCCCACCATTGGTATGTCAATCACTTGCATAACCCATTTGCTCCTTGATCTCGATTCATCACTCGATTTCCGTTTTATTCATCATTTTAACATTGTATTAGTTATTAATTGCTCTGATTTATGGTGAATTATCTGGTTAGGATTCAATGTGGAGACTGTGGAATACAAGAACATCAGCTTTACTGTGTGGGATGTCGGGGGTCAGGACAAGGTATGGACGCTTTTTTCAACTTCCTTATTTTCGAAATTGTTACTTCTTTCGGTTATGCAATTTGGTACTGGTAAATGTTCATTCCTGCATCTGATTTACGTAGTCGAGTTTGCCTGATCAAAAATTAGATTGTGGAAAATTATAGCAACTCAGCAAGTTTGTGCCACGCCCAACATGAAGTGTATGATCTCCATTTTCATGGATCGAGGTCAAATGTTTAATGCGTATTAGTTAGAGCTCCTAATCCTAACCTTCCTTTCCAATCGACTAGTCAATGAATCCACTCAACTCACACCATTTGCCTACCATCCTATAAGCTCATCATTTAAACAACGATGGGGTCAGGCTCAGGACATGCTTATTCTTTTGAGGATGGCTTTTCCTTTGTTATGTTTATCAACTTTGGGACGTACATGTCCTCCGTGACTGTTCTCTTTCAGAATAATGGCCAACTACATCTTGTTCATCAGGATTGTTTGGATGATGCCATTATGTGGCTTACAATTTGCATACTGTACTACTATAGTCAATATCCTTTCTCATTATCAGTTAAATGTCTTTATGGATGCCAGCTTTTCACTTTGTTGTATTGTCTTTCCAGATCCGACCTTTGTGGAGGCATTACTTCCAAAACACACAAGGACTTATCTTTGTGGTTGACAGCAACGATCGTGACCGTGTGGTGGAAGCCAGAGATGAGCTTCATAGAATGTTGAATGAGGTATACATAAACTTTGGAACTTCTTATGCTGATGATAAAGAGGGGTGAAATATAGCACATTGAAAACTTGTGTACTATTATTGCTATATGGTCGTATCTTTTTTATTTTGATTGTTAACCTTTTGTTATTGTATTGGGCAGGATGAGTTGAGGGACGCTGTGCTTCTTGTATTTGCAAACAAGCAAGATCTTCCAAATGCCATGAATGCTGCTGAAATAACTGATAAGCTTGGCCTTCACTCCCTCCGTCAACGCCACTGGTAAAACCAAATGTAGCTTATATTTCTCACAAACTCGCTCACACCTACGCTCCTCCTTGAAACTAACCTTGTAAACTAACCCTTGCAGGTATATCCAGAGCACATGCGCCACTTCTGGTGAAGGACTTTACGAGGGTCTTGACTGGCTCTCAAACAATATTGCAAACAAGGTGGACTCATGCTCTCATACATTCTGAATAACTCGATTGTTCATTACGGTTTCCGTTTCTGACTTTGGTTTTCTGATATTACATTTTGCAGGCATAGATGGCTTGACTTGAATTCTGTGTAGCGTCCATTCTTCTGTACTATGAAGTTGACATTTATCGGTCCTGGTGTTCTGCATTTGCTCCGCTCTTATCTTAAGTACCTGTTTTTACCATATTTGTGTTTTCTTTGCAAAAAAATTCTCATGGTATTAACATAATAGCTTTGTTTTGTGAAATGAAATAGCTGTTATCGATTTGTTTATATTTACTTTGACGGAGATTATGGAAGATAATTCTCCCCTCGTTATCTCTCACATACTCAAAACTCATATCGTAGCTGTTTATCGGAAATGCATTTGGGAAGTAGCGTTTGCCCTCTTAAATTATCTTCTGATTTGAAGTTATAAACAGGATCCAAAATCCCTAACTATGATAATGTATGCAGGGGCTGTGCCCAACTGTTTATTCTTTCCTTATATTAGAACGGCTCGAGTGATTGAACCGGGAACTTGTCATAATCCGAAACTATAATCCCTTTCTCAATTAGTGTAGCTTAAACAGTAATATCGTTCGTAATAAAAAGATCATTAGAGTGTCACACGCTTGGAATCATGCCTCAGGTCCGGTGTCTTCATAAAAACTTACCGATGCATCAAATGATGGTAATGAGACTGGTATTGCATTGCATACTTGAATGCGTTGCTTATCGACGGGATACGAGGTGACATGGTTGACAATGTTTCCCAAATGTCTCGTACTTCATCAATGGCGTTGGCAACGGTGGTGGATGCGCTAGGCCATTCATCGTCGATAGTGTATGAGAATAGGAGCACCGAAAAGTTGTTTTACAAAACTTAGAACTTTTAAATTCAAGTATTCGAGAATTTGACAAGATGTTTCTAGCCTAGTTAGTCCAGAAGATTCTCTTTATTGATATAGGGTTTTTTTTTTGGAACTTTAACGAAAAGTTTTCGATACTGTTCATTTTAATGAAAAATCATATTTTTCACTAAAAAGTCAATCCTAGTACTATTCACTTTACCTTTTATTTTGACCTTATCGTTAAAACTCAAAGTTTTTAAATAATTTTCGTTAGTGTTTTATTTTTTGGTTAGGTATAAAGTATGATATACAAATAAAGAGGATGATCCTCGATAAAGAATTTACTAGGGATTTTAATGCAAACGAAGGAAGAAGTGTCCAACATTAACTTATAAAGAGCTACTTTCTTCATGTAGTAAATCAAGAATTACAATGGCCAAGTCAAGATTTCGGGTTAGGAGGAGTCTCTCACAAAGGTTTAAAAAAAAATGTTGAATCACCGCCAACCCTGCAACACGCTCGCAAATTCTTCTCTCACACTCATGAATCCATCTCCCAACCATGGTCTCATTCATTGTCTCAGTTACTACTTTACTACTTTAGGTTTTTTATCAGATTATGATATTTGTTTGCTCAGCGACAATGGTGTTGATTTTTTCAATACCACTTAATTTAATCAGTACATTTTGACAGTTCGAAGCCGTGTTAATTGACGAAGAAAAAAACCTAATTAACATGTCTAATGAAAACACGAGAATCGCACATAAGTAGAAGAAAAATTCAAGCTTGTCAACAACCACTAGTACCATGTGTAAAAAGTTAACCAATTGTCTCGCTTACTTCCTCTCTCTCCCTCGGATTGGGTCCTAATTCCTTGAAAAATCTTTGACTCTAATTTTTTTTCTTCATAAAAAGTTTGTCGAGGTAGACGACCCGGGACTATTATTGTCCCTTCATGACTCCGTTGAATTACATACGGCGATTCCTGGAGAAAAGCAAGTAGCACACATATATAAACCCAATGCATATCGTTTAACGGAGCTTAGCTACACAGTAATGCTATCAGAGTCCTCCAATTGCTCACTGTACTAAACGACATCGAAATTATTCCCACTTAATTAAATTACCTAAAAACTGGACAGACGTTTGATTTTCTCTTATTTACATTGCCATACTTCAAAATTTATCCTGGTTTGAATCACTACCAGAATGGAACCAAGAAGCGTGCAGAGGAGAATAGAACAAATTGATTAGTCCTACTAATAAACATATATTTTTCATTAATTCACCATTTGCTCCTCTCCATAAGAGGATGATTACATAAATGGCGCTTTTTCTCTCCTTCATAGAATATTATCAACACGCATCAAACCTTGTCACCTAAGCAGGTTGATGGATTTACCAAAACGAAAAAAATCAAAAGCTGCTTACTTAACTTATTCACCTTCCCCCCGATCCAATCCAACAAGCATTGGGATTTCATTCATCTAAATATTTTCCCTCTCTCTAGATCTCGACTACTCCTAGATGAATGAATGCTCTTAATCGACTAAGCCGCTGACGGTGCTGTCACGTATTGGACCGCAGCTTCCGACAGAGCGTCAATGAACGGCCGCATGTTCACCCGTTCACCACCTGAAGCTGCTTCTGGACCCACAACTCCTCCTGCCCCTGCTCCTCCAGCTGCCTTCTTGTAATCCAGCGACTCGTCGTTGTATATATCCCACCATTTCTTCACCAGCATCTTAATGTCCTCCCTCTGCATGTTCTCCTCCTTCCCTGTATACCTCCACGGCTTCGATCCCTGTAACAATCAACGTTAACTAATCAAAACCCTAGCGAAAATGTGACATGTCGTAAATATGTCAATTATTAATCAAAAGTACGATACTTACTGCTGCACAATAATGAACGACTTTGACTTTGTCCAGCTCCACGTTCTCCGGGTGACGCCAAAGCATGGCGAGGACCAAATTGTATACCAAAGGAATTGGCTTGTATATTTTCCGGAAATACATGTTTAAGAAGTCCTGTTCTGCAAACGGGGTCGGAGGGGTCACTCTGAGAGTCCTCAACAGGTCATGGTAGGTCTCGAGGCCGGGCTCGAACACGAACATGCCGGCGTTGAAGTACAACGACGGAGGCGGGCCCAGCTCCGATGTGGGCCACTGGACCTTCTCCGGGCACTGCTGGCAGTACCCGATTTGGTATTGCGGCGTGTGGCTCCAGGTTTTCTCGCAGAAACAGTCCATGACTGCGTAGAAATGTCCATCTGGCAAGTCAAAGAGGTGGTCTATATTGTCGTACACCTCAATGTCCCCGTCCAAGTATATCATTTTCTCGTACTCCACAAACTGCAAATCAATCAAAAAGTTCAGAGCAATTAAAATTTACAACCTTCTACCACAAAAAGTTTGATTGAAACAGTTTCCCCAAGGAAAAACAAGAAATAAAATTTTATTGGCTTCCAACATAGACTGCCACGGGTAAGACCCAAAGCAACCCAAATTCCACGTGTAACAAAAAGAACGCATAACAAAGGTCACGTAAACGAGAGATTTTTCAGGCATCTATATATAAATAATAAAATTTACGTGTTAAAAAATTAATAATTTACAAAATAAATTTTTTTATCATTTATATAAAAACACGAGGTACGAAAGAAAATTTTCTCCACGTAACCAAAGCGAGAAGAACGTACCTCCCAAATGCGCAGCTTCGAGTAGTTAATGACGTAATAGGCCATGGCGAACTGGGTCTGGTTCTCGGGCGGGTAAACGGGTTCGATCTCACGGACGATGCAACCCTGAGATTCAAGAATGCGACGGTGATCTTCCGGGACGTCGGGCAAGACTGCAACGACCAACGGGTACGCCGTTTTTACCTTTCTCAACCCCTTGGCCAACCCGACGACGCCCTTCACGTAGTCGCCGTTTCCGGCCAAGAAGGTCACGTACGCCCGACTAGGCATGGTGGCGGGAGTGGTGAAACCCGATTTGGGGACGCTGGTGGGGACGAGTTCGGGAGCCATGAGAAATTACGTGTCCAAGGGAGAAGGGAACTAGGGTTTACAGAGGAAGGCCTTGACCCTTGGAAATATAGAGAGAAAAACTAGCTGAATGCGACGAAAGAGAGAGAGAAAGACACGGCGTAGATTAGGACGTCGTCGTTATCTGTCTTCTTGTGGGTGGTTCGGTGTTGGGGGTGGTGGTGGGTTTAAATAAGGGTGAGAATCAATGAAATGAAATTTGAGCGAAATTTGTGGTAAATTCAGTCAAATGTGGTTATGAGGTTGATGCCATACACGTGTCCATCTGGCTGGATCCTACGGTGAGTGGTTGTTGTGGGAAAGTTCTGGAGAGGGACTCTGGACCGTGGAGTAGAAGATGCCAGAAGGCCTAATTATTTATTTTCCATATTTGCTGGGTGAAGAGGCACGTGCGGGGTTAGTTTACTAAGAGATACAACAAAGATGGTTATATCAAAGTGGTTAATTAAGTTTACCAAAAAAAAAAAAAAAGTGATTAGTTAATAGAAAGAATAATCCAGAAGCATGACAGACACAAGGTCAAATTAAATAGAAATGGTAAAGATACTCTCCTAAAGTAAAGTTCTTCGTTGAATTATCTGTTACGTTACAATTTAATCTGAATTTTTATGTTAATATTATAAAATATTATGCTAAAATTATGAGGTGACAAAGCGTTCATAAAGACTTCCTTTTTTTTAGAAAGGCTTATTAGCAGTTTTCCTAATTAAAATGATAAAAATTTGAAGATAGACAATTAAATACTAAAGAATTTAAAATGGTAAAAATTAGTTGAAAAATGATGGAAGAGCATCACATACACAATGTTTGCGTGGTCCAACTAAATGAAGTTTAAAAGAATTTAAGCAAAGAATCAATTACAACTCCTCACTTATTTTTTGTTCTCTATATATTGGTTAAGGAATAGTTTAGAAGTATCATGCATTTGTAACCTATACGAGGGGCTGCTTGCAAAAATATTAACCGTTTTTATCTCTCTCTGTCATAATTATTACATTGAAGAATTTCAATTTGACGAGAAATGCTAAAGGAATTTTTTTAAAGTGAGATTCTTTGCGTTTTTATTTTTTTGGCACAATGTTTTATAATATTGAAGCGAGAATTTTGCCAATAACAAGAGGTGGCGGAAAATTTATGGAGAATCTCATTTTTAAGAGTCTCCTTAGCATTCCTGTATAAAGATTAAGAAAAATGCTAAAGAGACTCTCAAACTCTTTATAACTCTCTTACAACTCACAGTTTAACATCAATTTTCGTATCAATATTAAATTATTGGTATTACGTCATATTGACTTGTCTGTGTCAATTCGTTTTCATTTGTTATTTCGTTTTCATTTACGAATCAACTTTAAATTGCTACAAAATTTGTTGACGTTTGCAAGGGAGACAAACTACAAAAATATACACGGTTAATTGCATGCATGGAATTTACTT